GTAGAAATGGTATATAATATTTGAAAACCAATATTTTTCCTTCGGGAAACTCAGGTGCACTTCTGAAGACTTTCAATAATAGGTAATACCCAATTATTTCTATAAGTAATCGTTTTTAATACTAAAGATTTTTTATTGGTCCCCTTTTTCCATTTTCTGGGGTTTTTGGCGGACCTAAAAAATATAGTTACTGTGAAAACTTGTTAAATAAACCATTGCGTATTATTATTGGAAATCTCCTGAAGAGAAACAGAGTTTTCCGATCGAAAAATATTGATTTTCAAGAATTTGATACCATTTCTACTAAAAGTTGTTTTCTTTTTTCATATAAAATACCTACATGGAAAACCTTGAACGCTTACAGCAACCTCTAAATATTTTTGGATTTCAAAATAAAAAATAGGGGTACACATATCGATAAAGAACAACAGAGAGCATAAAAATTCCGACTCTAATTTTTCACATACATTTTTCGTACCACCCTAATGTAAACATGTACATACAAACACAACGGACGCGTGAACATAACTAGCAGACTGCTATACCATCAGCAACCAAAACCACAAAACAAAATTCAATGACAGAACCTCGCTTAGCATTTAAGTGACATAATAAATACATTAGCATTACATAATACAAACAAATGTAGACATATATGTACAGTTATCCACAAAATAATAGGAGTGCGATATTTTTACCAGTTTTGGCTATTTGTCTTTTATTTATTTAATGTTTATTATTTCTTTATAAATGTCTAGCTGGTTAAACAAAAATTCAGATTTCAAACTTTGTACAAGAATTACACAAAATACGCAGATTTTCACCCAAATTTCAAATATTTTTTATCAGAATCATTGGTATTGAGTTTGATAGCCCATTTAATTGTAGTATAATGAAGTCCAAGTTTCAAGCTGCTAAAAATTCTTTCTATTTTTGAAAATTTTTTTTTATTTTTTTTGCTGACAATGTCCTCCATATAAAAGAAAATTGTCTAACATACTTTGTACGGAAAAACGTGAAACACCTTCAACCAACCAACAAATTCTCAAAAATCAACGAGATTTTTTAGCAACTTGAAATTTGCACTTTATTATACTAGAATTAAATGCGCACCAAAACTGCATTATTTTTTTTTGTCGCTTTTGCTTCCATATAACGAATAAAAAAATTCATTTTTATATGGAAGAAATCCGCAAAATCAACGGTAATTCTTAGCTACTAGGAACTTGCACATCATTAGACTAAAATTAAATGGGCTACAAAACTGTGTACTCAGAAAAACTATAGCACTTGTGAAAAACAGTTTAAAATTTGGGTGAAAGTTTGTTGCATTATTTTGTAGTCTTTTAAAAAGTTGAGGGGCAAGCAATATCCCTTTGAAATGGGGGTGCTATTGTATTGGCCAATACTGTGTATAAGTACAAGCACACACGCATGCGATTTACGAGACATGCGGCAGGTGGCAGTGGGCGCCCATTCGATGTATTGGTGTTCTGAATGCATACAAATTGGCATGATGGTAAGAACCCAGTGGGAAAGGGTCCAGTATCGCATCGCCCGTTTATCTTAACACAGTGCATGCCCTAGAAAGTGATGTATCAGGTATCGCTTTAAAAATCTATAAATAAGTAGAAACAACAAAATATGAAAGAAGCATTTCGTTCCAAATGATTTGAACCTCTGATTAACAAGATGATAGTCGAATATATTTTCATTTCTAGTATTACAACCTCTCTAGATTGGCAAAATTTTACACTGTAAAGTTTCCCACCAATACGACTTTGAATCTTCCGAGTACAAATTAACCCATTCCCGTACATACATATGAATGTACAGTGTGCCGTTGAGAATTTTCAGAAAGTCACAAAAAAGGGGTAATTGACGAAAAAGGGGTCAGAATATTATTTTTGGTTTTCTTTACTAGTAAAAGAATAAATCCGTTAAATTTGAAAAGAAAATAGCGGGACAAGCCTTGCACAAAACAGGGTTGCAAGCATAACCATAAATCTAGTTGCTGCAAGGGAAAAGTTGCGATTACTTTAAAAGTTTTAAGTGATGCATTTTTTCGTACTTGCAAGAGGATATTTTTTTTAATAGCATGGTTCTGTTAATATTTCCTAAAAAAATCTCTGAAAAGGGGCAAAAGTTGCACATAATTTTGGAAAAGGGTTGAAAAATCAAAATTTTCCAGTCGGGTCAAAGGGTATTGGCGCTTAAAAAGGGTTAAATTGCCCCTTTAGTCGCACAACGGCAGCACTGTATATGTACACTGAGAGAAGGAATCAAGTTTTTTGTACTCGGTCTTAGCATTTCTGAACTTAAAATCGGACTAAGATTGAAAATACGAAAAATAGGGAACACAAATCCATTATTAAGTATGATATTTTTGAGTACCAAATACTGGAATTAAGATCAACTTAAAAAATTATGTATATATCATTCATTTTTTTCAAAATTAATTTTATCAGTTCAATTAATATGTAGTCTTGAGTTCCATTCTTAACCTAAGAAACTGTGTACCAACGTTTGAAAG